CGGGCTCCAGGGGCTGCGCTCTCGCGCGCATGGCGAGTGGGGCTTTCCCTGGCTGCTCTCAGAGGCCAGAGGGACTAAGATGGTGTCCGCTGGGCGCCCCGGGGGCGGCCTCCAGAAGGATTTGCGGGCCCGGCAGCCGGAGGTAGGAAGTGGGGAGCCCAGAAGTCCCGCGCCCCCACGGCCGAAGCACAGCCGAGTACGCTGCCCGACGGAACCGGTGTTTGCCGGCAGAACGCCCGAAGCCCGGAGAGGCGGGGCGGGATTCTGATCACCATCTCGCGACGTCTCAGTGACGTCGCACGGCACTCGCGTGTTCCACTCTTTCACCTTCAGTCCCCTCCCTCAGTACGTGGGCCTACCCCTTTAAGCGAGTGATTGACAGTTATTTCAGCCATTCAACGTCCCCAGAACCATCCAATCAGATTTAAACTTCTCTCAGCCGCCAAAGGAGTTGGAAAAAGGGGTCGAAAGAGGGAGAGCTCTTTCGCGCGAGATCGCTGTGAGGCGGCCTCTGAGAGGAAAAAAACGCCAGAAAAGATGGCCCGACCTTCCAAGTAGTGGATTAAAGGACGGGGTCGAAAACCAATAAAAGGGATGAGGAGGTGGGATCATTGCTTTCCGGAGCCAGAAGTACCGTTACAGGGCACACTTCTTGTCCAATCAACGCCTCCAGACTTTGGCTCAGGTGACTACAGAGTGCGAGGGGCGGAGCTACAGCCTGGCGTGAGGAACCGTTAAGATGGACAATGAATGTAGCCAATGAGGTACTCCGACTGAGGCGTTGGGAACCCAATAACAGTGGCCGGGCGGGCGCCTTCCCGGAGCGCGGGGAGATGTAAAGACAGACAAGTAGTTTTCCCAATGAGGCTGTAGAAGAGGGGAGCTACTTGGCCAATGGAGGCGGCGGGGCGGGATCCTTTGCAGCGGCGGAGCCCAAGATGGCGGCATGCGGTTCCGCTGTGTGAAACGAGCGCGGGGCGGCGGGTTTATCAGCTCCGCGGAGACGACCTCCGACGACCCGCAGCAATGAAGGGGAAAGAGCGCTCTCCAGTCAAATCCAAGCGCTCCCGTGGTGGTGAGGATTCGACTTCTCGTGGGGAGCGGAGCAAGAAGTTAGGGGGCTCTGGCGGCAGCAATGGGAGCAGCAGCGGTAAGACCGACGGCGGCGGGTCGCGGCGCAGCCTCCATCTCGACAAGTCCAGCAGCCGAGGCGGCAGCCGCGAGTATGACACCGGAGGGGGCAGCTCCAGTAGCCGCTTGCACAGTTACAGCTCCCCGAGCGCTAAAAATTCCTCGGGCGGGGGCGAGTCGCGCAGCAGCTCCCGAGGTGGAGGCGGGGAGTCACGTTCCTCGGGGGCCGCCTCCTCCGCTGCTGACGGCGGGGAGTACAAGACCCTGAAGATCAGCGAGCTGGGGTCCCAGCTGAGTGACGAAGCGGTGGAGGACGGGCTGTTCCACGAGTTCAAACGCTTCGGTGATGTGAGTGTCAAAATCAGCCATCTCTCGGGTTCTGGCGGCGGGGACGAGCGCGTCGCCTTTGTGAACTTCCGGCGGTCAGAGGACGCGCGGGCGGCCAAGCATGCCAGAGGCCGCCTGGTGCTCTATGACCGGCCCCTGAAGATAGAAGCCGTGTACGTGAGCCGGCGCCGCAGCCGCTCCCCCCTGGACAAGGATTCTTACCCGCCGTCGTCCAGCGTGGTCGGGGCCTCGATCGGCGGTCACCGGCACGCCCCGGGCGGAGGGGGTGGAGGCCAGAGATCCCTGTCCCCCGGCGGGGCGGCCTTGGGATACAGAGACTACCGATTGCAGCAGCTGGCCCTTGGCCGCCTGCCCCCTCCGCCGCCGCCACCCTTGCCCCGGGACCTGGAGAGGGAGCGGGACTACCCGTTCTATGAGAGAGTGCGCCCGGCATACAACCTCGAGCCCCGGGTGGGAGCTGGAGCAGGTGCTGCTCCTTTCAGAGAAGTGGATGAGATCTCACCGGAGGATGATCAGCGAGCTAACAGGACGCTTTTCCTGGGCAACCTGGACATCACGGTGACCGAGAGCGATCTAAGGAGGGCTTTTGATCGCTTTGGAGTCATCACAGAAGTAGACATCAAGAGGCCTTCTCGGGGCCAGACCAGTACCTATGGCTTTCTCAAATTTGAGAACCTAGACATGTCTCACCGAGCCAAAGTAGCAATGTCTGGCAAGATTATAATTCGGAATCCTATCAAAATTGGTTATGGTAAAGCTACACCCACCACCCGCCTCTGGGTAGGTGGCCTGGGACCTTGGGTGCCTCTTGCTGCCCTGGCACGAGAATTTGACCGGTTTGGCACCATACGCACCATAGACTATCGCAAAGGTGATAGTTGGGCCTATATCCAGTATGAAAGCCTAGATGCCGCTCATGCTGCCTGGACCCATATGCGGGGCTTTCCACTTGGTGGTCCAGATCGCCGCCTTAGAGTAGACTTTGCAGACACAGAACATCGGTACCACCAGCAGTATCTGCAGCCTCTGCCCTTAACTCATTATGACTTGGTGACAGATGCTTTTGGACATCGGGCACCTGACCCTTTGAGGGGTGCGAGGGATAGGACACCACCCTTACTATACAGAGATTGTGATCGGGACCTTTATACTGACTCTGATTGGGTGCCACCCCCGCCCCCAGTCCGGGAACGCAGCACTCGGACTGCCCCTACTTCTGTGCCTGCTTATGAGCCACTGGATAGCCTGGATCGCAGGCGGGATGGCTGGTCCTTGGACCGGGACAGAGGTGATCGAGATCTGCCCAGCAGCAGAGACCAGCCCAGGAAGCGAAGGCTGCCTGAGGACAGTGGGGGACGGCATCTGGATAGGTCCCCTGAGAGCGACCGTCCTCGGAAACGTCACTGCGTTCCTTCTCCTGATCGCAGTCCAGACTTGAGCAGTAGCAGGGATCGCTACAACAGTGACAATGATCGATCTTCTCGTCTTCTTCTCTTGGAAAGGCCCTCTCCAATCAAAGACAGACGAGGTAGTTTGGAGAAAAGCCAGGGTGACAAGCGAGACCGCAAAAACTCTGCATCAGTTGAACGTGATAGGAAGCATCGGACAGCTGCTCCCACTGAGGGAAAAAGCCCTCTGAAAAAAGAAGACCGGTCTGATGGGAGTGCAGCCAGCACCAGCACTGTTTCTTCAAAGCTGAAGACCCCTTCCCAGAAACAGGATGGTGGGACAGCCTCTGCTGCAGCTGCCTCTCCCAAGCTCTGTTTGGCCTGGCAGGGCATGCTTCTATTGAAGAACAGCAACTTTCCTTCCAACATGCATCTGTTGCAGGGCGACCTCCAAGTGGCTAGTAGTCTTCTGGTGGAGGGCTCCAGTGGAGGCAAAGTTGCCCAGCTCAAGATCACTCAGCGTCTTCGTTTGGACCAGCCCAAGTTGGATGAAGTAACTCGACGCATCAAAGTGGCAGGGCCCAATGGTTATGCCATTCTTCTGGCTGTGCCTGGAAGTTCTGACGGCAGATCCTCTTCCTCCGCCACATCAGATACTGCCACTTCTACTCAGAGGCCACTAAGGAACCTGGTGTCCTATTTAAAGCAAAAGCAGGCTGCTGGGGTGATCAGCCTCCCCGTGGGGGGTAACAAAGACAAGGAAAACACCGGGGTCCTTCATGCCTTCCCTCCCTGTGAGTTCTCCCAGCAGTTCCTGGATTCTCCTGCCAAGGCACTGGCCAAATCTGAAGAAGATTACCTGGTCATGATCATTGTCCGTGGTGCGTCCTAAAGTCCATGTGTAACTTGTATTTACTACTTTGACATGGTTCCTGTTTTGTGATGTATAATGGGATACAGCATTAGGTGAAATTTTCTTTTTAATTAGTTGTTTAGTTGTAGCCTTTTTCTTTTTTATATTTTTATAAACCTTATAGAAGTCAGGATAGTTTAGTTATTAAGTGAAAGCAATGCCCTGAAGGTAGCAGGCAGATGGATTTACTTTAATTAGCAGTTCCCACTCTTATGAGTAACTTTTTTCCTCCTCTTTGGTTTTTTTTTCTTTTTTAACCTTGAGCTTTAAAAAAAAATCCTCAAAGTTACAAAACCAAAATTCTGAAGTCAAAATCTGGAGGAAAAAGCCCATTGATTATATAAAGATATACACTTAAAAATGGTTGATTGGTATGTAGGTAAATAATTTCTGTACCAGAAATATTATTTGTATGAAAAATTTTGATCAGGGACCTCAAAAAGTATAAGCTGGTAAATTGTATAGCTATGTAATTGTTTTAATCAGGTATTTGAGTATTTCTCTTAAAATATACGGTTTATTCCCAGAGAGTTTGCTTTAACATAATGCATTTTTATCATTAATTCTTGAGTTCTGTATCCCGTATATGCACTTTTGGTTTGTAGCTGTAACTGTTCAGTAAAAATTGAGGAGTATGTTACAAACCATATGTCTTATGCTTACACTAGTATGCAAGTGAGTAGGTGCTTTTAAACTCAGAATTCTTTGGTCAGTTATTGGTGTGTGGGTTGTTTTTACTGATTTTTTTTTAGAGAGGTGTAGCAGGCACATTTCTAATTGTGCATATTTCAAAACTCAAGTGTTTTTCATCAAAGATGAGTTTTTGTTTTTGTATTCATTCAAATTCCTGATTTCAATAATAGAAAGAAGAGTTGTCTGCAGGCTCATAAGTCATCTTTTGTTTCTGTGGGCATTAATCAGCCATGTCTAGATTGCAGAATTTTTTAAAGTCATCCTGAAATGCCTTTGACATGCTCTTAAAATTTTGCTTGTATTCTTTTCATATTTAAACAGTAGCAATGACATTACATTATGGAAAATGTTTGGGCTATCTTTGAAATCTTGGGCTTAATATTTGCACTGGTGTCCAACCACAGAGAATTAAAATGTCAGTATAAGGAAAACCCTTTTTTATTGTTTTATTTTCCCAGACATCTGGAATTAATTCAAAATAACCCACACTCACGGTTTTTTTTTTCCCAAAGCTGATTATATTGACTTCTGGTTCTTAACAAGGGCTTTTGCTGCTTAACAGTAATGGATGATTTTTGAGGCCTTTTTTTTCTTTTTTTCCATCTATTCCTTAGCCCCCAAGTCTAGTTTCTCAGGTCATTAGTATACCCACTCCCCAAACCTCCCCCCACACACACATACACACTGCCCCCAGTTTAAATGCTGAGGACTTTGGCTAAGGCCCTTGATATTTAATTATGATTAGAAACTTTAGGACCTTTTGGATCATGGTCATGTTTCTATTCTGTGAAAGTGACTTATTGAAAGCCTGGCAGAACCCAACTATTTTCTTTCTGTTATCAAAGCTGGTAGTTTAAAATAGCACCAATAATAACCCAGGGAAGTGTCATGTAATTTTTTATTTTTCATTATGACAGGTCTCTAATGCATGTCAGCATGAAACCCTCACCACTGCTGTGTCTCTTGTTTTGTTTGGTTTTCATTATGCATTCATAAATATTCTTTTTAGGTTTAGAGATTTTTTTTTTGTTTTTAAACTGGAAAAACTAGTCATTTTGAGGGAAGGAAAGTACTAGGCTATGAACACAAACACCCTTGGTTAGTAGGGAAAATACTGAAAGCCCTACAATTAAAGCTTTGGATGCTTTTTGCTTTTTTTTTTTTTTTAATAATATATTTGTATTGATTTCAGAGAGGGAGGGAGAGAGAGAGGAAAAAACATCAGTGTTGAGAGAGAATCATTGATTGCCTGCCTCCTGCATGTCCACCACCGGGAACCCACCCTGCTACCCTGGGCATGCACCCTGACCAGGAACATGCCCTGATAGGGGAATCAGACCGTGACCTCCTGGTTCATAGGAGGTCGGCACTCAACCACTGAGCCACGCCTGCTGGGCTGCTTTTTGCTTTTTAAAAGGCCAAGTGTAGCAAGGTAATATGGCATAGACACCTGTTCAGAAACTAATGCAAGTGTGCAGTCTGTGCATACATGGGGTCAAAGTACAGTTTGGCTAGATACATTTTTCCAGTTTAAATCTCACTAACCATTAACTTTTGAATATCTTGTGATAAGATGGCTGGACAAATAATTTTGCTCCTTTAGGGAGTGAAGTCCATGACATCTAATTTTATGATAATCCAAAGTGTGTGCTTTCTCTCTCTCTCTCTCTCTCTCTCTCTCTCTCTCTCTTTTTGTGTGTGTGTGCTTGCTCCATGTTTGTGTGAATTTTTACTTGACATTGCAGCTTTTGTTAAATCTGGGAAATTTGTGCTTCAATGTTTTCGGAACAATGGCTTGATATCATTTCTAAACGTATGTATTGTAAATACCTAATTATGTTTTGTTTGGTGCTTACCTACAGAGTGCCATCATTCAGATGAATCTCTTATTTGTGATGCCCATTCTCGCGCAGTTTTATAATATTGGTGAACTATTGACTTAAATCTTCAGAATGGAATGAAAGCAAAAGTCTAAAACTGTCTGGTCTGATGCTGATTGGTCAGAATTTCATTATTTCAGCATTGGGTGTTCTTTGTAACAACCAATTTTTTTCTATTTCTTATACTTTAAAAAAAATACTTGTTTAGTTGATGTTTCTGGAATTCGGTTCAAATGAATGGAAAGAAAATTTCTTCAATGTATCATTTAATTACTTACTAATAAGTATTACTGGTGAAAACATCAAGCTAATTAAGACTTTTGGATCACCACTTCAAAGTTTATGGGAAATTAAGCCTTCAGCTCCTAGCCAGTTTTATAATATTTTGTTGGTTGTAACTGGGATTCTTACTAGTAGAAAGAGTTTTCCACACAAAAAATTAAATTCCTGGTTTAAGATGTATACTTTAACTCTTAACTGAGCATAGACTTCCCTTTAAGGATTACATCTTAAAATGTCCATCCTCTGGCTTGTATAAGTTTTTGACACATTTTGAAGGTAATATATTATGGCCCTTCTTAACTAGATCATTTGAGGTACAGGAGTAAAAGTAAGGTGTGTGTTCGTTGCTTTCAGAGTCAAACACTGTAGGTTTATTTTAAAACTTACGAGCAGGTTTTCACTGACATTACCTTTTTATTTTATTTTAAATCCACTATTTTTAGACAGTGAAATTGCTCATTATATAGGTAAAGCTTGAATTGCAGTTTGGAACCATTCACCAAAAACTCTGTGGTAACAGAATTAGGAAATCCTCTTGAGAAGAGGGCCTTTATGACTTTCCATGTGAAAAAAAATTTTGGAGAGAATTTCTGGACATTTTTTTCTGTCTCTGCCACAGTGCATGGTTTTGAGATAGACAGAAGTTAGGTATTAGAACAAGCAGAGGAGACGTGGATGTGACCCTGTTAACATTCTGGTAATAGTGATGTCACTAAGGGGAGAAAATGATTTTAGGTCACCACAGTGAGCTGTCCATCTTAATAAAAAGTTTTATGTGTGTGATTTAAACAGCACTGAAAAGTAAAAGTCCTAAAGTGTTCTTGGCTGTTTAGCAATGGGTTTATGTTGAGTGTTTTCTTAAAGTAACAGTTGCTGTCTTTGGTAACACAGATGAAGGTGGATTTTTAAATGGTTTTGTATCTTGACCCCTTTCTGTAATAACGGAGCAGTTCTGTATTGCTCCATATAAATTACAGAATGAAAATAAAGGGGGTAAAAGTTTAACTAAATTTCACCTTTTTACAGTTTCATTTTTTAAGTTATATGTAGAATATATTGATTATAGGTTGATTATAAACTTGCTGTCTTCTGAAATTTTTTTCAGTATGTTTTACTCGGTTACATGAGTATAAAGGATATTTTCAGTCCTATAATCCTCACTTAATTGCAGTCTTTCAAAAAAAAATCCACCCTATTCTACTTGTTATTTGTCTGTTCATACAGTAAATTCGTTTCAAGGTTTGTGCCAATGGGTATTATTGGTGCTTTTTGAGGTCAAGGTGGACTATCCAGGAAGGGCTTGTTAACGATGTGTTCATCTATGATGGCATAGGGAAAAAATATATATTTTTAATATTGTAAACATTTTTACTGAATAACCTTTTTTTCCCTCCTGCAAGCAAAGCTGGTGAACAGTGGATGAAGATACGGAAATCAAAGCTCTAATGGACCTTTTCGAAGAGAAGTTGTGGCTTATGTGGAGTTTACATGGGCCTCTTGATGGAAGAAAGCTAATCTGTTTAGTATTTGTGCATTTTACTAAAATGGCAGCTTAAAGTTGTGTATCTGCTATTGTGATGCCAATGCCGGTGTTTTAAGTGGAAAAAAATGACCTCTTGCTTTGTGCTGTGTACACAAGATTTCTGGAAAAGTAAAGAAAAACCCTTTTTATGGCTCACACAGCTTAAAAGTAGCTGTCACTCAAACGTGCGCTCACAGTTGAGCTGCTTTTGTTTTATTCTAAATAAATTGTTTCTTTTGAGGAAAATGTTTTTCTGCCTGGAAGTGAATTGACGGCAAACCTTTGACCCCTTTGTTTGCAGCTGAGGCGTTACTTGCTGCTGCTCAGATCTTGTATGTCTTGAGCAAGAAGCAGGGAGACCATCACTTTGACTTATCGCGGTGTGTCAATTCTGAAGGATCACTAGTGTTACTGTGACCCCCTTTGTTTGCAGCGAAGGGGATCATTTGCTTCTCGGTCCTCAACTTGATGAGGAAATGGTGCTGTTGGCTGGCACGAAAGAAGCCGGGGCAAGCACCGTAAGCCTCACCACAGTGCACGAGTCGGGGGCTTTGCTGGTTTGAAGAGCCGGAGTTGCTGAAATTTAAGTTTTGATTTATTTTGTTCACCTGTCACGTTTGGCCTTAGTTTCATTTTTAATTTGAAGAAAAGTTTGCAATTGCTTTATCTTGCACTTAACATTTGCACCAAATTGCCAAAAGAAGGAGAATGCTCCGTTTGCTTTTTAAATGTTAATGATGATGTTAATAAAGCCTTTCCTGACACATTTGAGGAGCTCCTCCCGTCTCCAGGGGCTTCTCACCAGAGGTATGCAGTGATGGGTTTAGTTCTGAATGGATGAAGAGTTCCTGAGAGCTAGCGTTTGTAATTAGAACCGTTACTTGGTATCTGTGCCTTATTTGACCTGTGGTTCCACATGCCTTGGATGTGCATGCACCGTGACGGTTTCATAGGTACGAACGCACACTCAGGCCCAGACACCTCGGTTGGTAGTACAGATTGTGAGGAAAAAATGGAGGCATCCTTAAGAAGGAAAAGTGTTTGCCTTTAGTTCCTGCATTATCCTGCACAGGGGGTCCTGAGCTTTGGAAGCTGTTCCCAGTACAGGAGAACAACTCCCCTGTTTGCAGCAGGAGACTTCGGTGCACAGTGACAACGCTGGAGTTCAAGAGGAAGCCAGCAATGCTGCACCATTGGCTTCAGACACCATTGTTGTTTGCCAGTTGTAAACTTAACTAGTTGCAGACGAAGACCACCTTGACATGCAGGCTTGTTGGGCTTGTTTTGAATTTTAACCTCGGATGGAAGAGCCTAGTGCTGTCTGTCTCCATGCGGGATGATGATTACTTAGGCAACAGGTGATTACCAACAAAGGATGCCACGCTTATACTCGGCAAGGTGGTGTTCCAGTGGCAAACAGCTGTATAAGCTCTTGTAAACAGGTAAGAGGGTTTTTAGAGGTCAAAATGCATTATAATTAATAGGGATTTTAATGTTGGGGGTATGCTTCTCTGGAAATCTTCAGGCACTACCTCCCCTTCACCAAAGTATTGTATTTATAAAATTCCAGGCCAGAACTTTTGTTCTGCTATTTTTATTTGAAAAAAAAACAACAGAAAATTATTGTGGGAGCCAAAGCATTGAAATCTTGGTTATGGATTTGGGGCCTTGATATCCTTTAAAATTTTGACATTTTCCATTAGCCATGACCTTCACCCTTAGTGGTGATTTACTGGTGCTGGAAGAATTTCCTGCTGTAAACCTCCAAGTTAACAAAATTATAGTATGTAGCAACAACAACGAGGAAATGTATACCATCAGACTAGGAATGATAGATAATTTAGCCAAAATGGTTAGTTTTTTTTTTCCCCTTGTCCTACAAAGAGATTAATTATAAAATTTGGCCACTACAACTTTAGGGGAGTGAATAGGCAATGTTGACAAGGCTATTACATCATTTTCGTGGTCCATTTAGTCTTCCCAGCCTTCTGAACCCTTGCAGCTCCTCTCCCCAACATTAATCAAGTGTGAGATTTTGGCAACTTAACACAAGCACAATAGTTTAATGTATAATACAATTTAGGTTTTCTTGATTTATTTAAAATGGGATAAAAAAATTTGAGAATTTTTTAAATGAAATTTAAGGGGAAAAGTGTTCTGTTTGTTTTTTTCAGGTTCTCAATGTGTCTTACAAGAGTTTTTAAACATCTGCTTAAGAATTGGCTGCCATCTAAAGCTTTGCTAAATGATCGCTTACCTACATGTCTAAAGGTTTTTATACCTGTTAGGAATGTCAATTTCCAGTGCATTTTCTTTCTCTGGCTAGTTCATACTGAAAGCCCATTAAGTAATTTTTCCAGTTATTAAACAAGTATTTTAAATTACTATAGCGATTTGAGGAAGATTATGTTACACTCTACATATTTCTGCATATTTGGTATCTTTCTAAGATCTCAGGCTTCCTCTCAGGAATTAGAAGAAATGTTGCACCAAGGCATTTGCTTATTTGTATATGAAACTGTATGCAAAATGGAAAGGTCCACAGTATGACAGTTTTGAAATTAGTCAAAAAGTTTTATTGCCAGCTATACTGGGAAAGAAAAATTAATTAGGTCAACTGTTAGATCTAGGGTTCTGGTTTTATAAATTGGAAACCGCCCTTCTGAAATATTGGTGTGGTTTCCCAATGTCTTTCATATGATCTAAATTTAGGGTTCTACTCTAAAGGAAATAGTTCCATGAACATCTCTGAATTGATTTGTGCTCATGTTGGGAAGCCTGGCTGTGAGTGTTAAAATTGAAAATAGGGATTACCCTGACTTTGGTAAATCAACCTTGATTTTGTAAATTGCCACTTCTGTAGGTTAAGTTATATTGTTGTTTCCAAGTTGTTTATCTCAAGCAATAAATTTAATACTTATAACCCCCTGGCAATGGGCAAGGAGACACCTGATTGGTGGTGTTGCTCTTATATCAGTCAGGGGCAAAGCAGATGTACAGTCCTTAGTTCATCCTAGCTTGATGCCTGTGTCGGTGGCCAGAGCTATTTCATGCCTGAGGCACATAAAAAAATTTTAGTACTTATGACTTGTATAACATCTATTTTCTTTTTGCAATAGGATATCTGATTGTGGCTTGTCTGACCACCACCTTTATCTCCCATCTTGATCCCTTTAAGCTTCCCTGGTTAAAAGACCCTTTTACTTAATAACTTGAATTATAACCTAGTTTTAAATTGTTAGCAGAGGAATTTATTGAATAACAAAATTCCTTCAAACCTCAGACAAGATTGTTCTTAGCAAGTAAGAAGAGATTTTGACCTTGAAGTAAAGTGACATAACCATAAACAGGTAAATAGTTAAGTATCAGGAGAAAAGTTCACAATTTAAAACAACTATAGGAGAGATGTCACAATATTTGAGTTGGTTTACTAATGAATTTTCACAGGTGATATGGGTATATGAATGAGTAGATGAAGTTTAAGGTTACTTTAAGCTAGAATGGTCATAAAAAGCCTTACAAAAGAATGTGTTAGTTGGAGAAGGACGTGGAATGGGGGAGGGAGGTTGGGATTAAGATGTCAGGCAGACAAGCATGAATCACAATCTAGCAGCCTATTGATTGATGGAAAAGATGCAGGCTGAAGCTTGGAAAAGGAGTAAAATGGTTGGGTCAACAAAAACAGAATCCTGAGGATAAGCCAGTTTGAGGAGGGCAGGGAGTGAGGATGCATAACCAGTTGAAACATGTTGATAAAAAGTAACAGTATTAATAATAGGAATCATTTATCAAATACCCCCTTCAGGCCAACATTCTGCCAAGTTCTATTACACATTGTCTCATGTCTCATCACAGACCATAATCTGATAGCTAGTAAGTGATAGAACCAGGATTCTAACCAGGCCTTTATTGTCACTGTACTGTCACACTTCGCTACTCTCTGCAGGCTGGGATGGGATTGAAGCTCTAAACTTACGCATATGGGCAATAGATTTCAAGCTATAGAGTGTATCAACATTCATAGTTCTTGGGAAACATACAGGCCCTCGACTCCAATCCCAGACATTGTGGGATTTGTTAGGGCCAGCATGGCCCAGGAGTCTGTTCTTTCACAAGCTCCCCAGGTAAATTCTGCTGGAATCTATGGTCAGTGGCCGCATGTTGAGCAACACTGGCCCACAGAGTGGAGTGCTGAAGTATGTACATATTTAAGACACGGGAAGGGAACATGGTGCTGGGAAAGGCCCCGGTAGGAGAGCCAGAATAGTGTTCTGTCTCTGAAGCTGAGATGAGGCACTTCCAGATGATGAATTAAAGCTGTTGCAGAGACAAGCAGAATGAAACGACAAATGCCATGGAATTTATCACTAAGAGTGTCACTTAAATAACAGTTTTATAGTCATATAATTATTTCTCCAAGGAATTCAATCTTGCTTAGTATTTAATTTTGCCTTATAACAGTCTGTGAAGAAGGGCCACTGTTTAGTTTATGATATGCTAAAGGGATACCAGAAAAGTCTGTGACTTGGCTAAGGGATACAAAGCCAGGAACTGACTGAGATATCCTTGAGTTTGCAGATGTTAATATAAAAATAACGTGACTATAGTCTAACTTAAATTAAAATTGCAGGTGATTCTAGGATTGCATGTGTATGTACACATGTAAGTTATTTTCCATGAATGAACATCACCTGTCAACTACCTTCTAACTAGGTTACCAATAGGATGGAGACAATGGAATCATAGGTAAAGTTGAGTGTATCTTTGACTTGTAAATAGTTGAAAGATTTCTTATTTTGAATTAGGCATACTGGGTTGTCTTCAATTAATGTAGCTAATTCTTCAAATATATATTTTACTGATTTTTTACAGAGAGGAAGGGAGAGGGATAGAGAGTTAGAAATATTGATGAGAGAGAAACACCGGTCAGCTGCCTGCTGCACACCACCTACTGGGGATGTGCCCGCAACCAAGGTACATGCCCTTGACTGGAATCGAACCTGGGACTTTTCAGTCCGCAGGCGGACACTCTATCCACTGAGCCAAACGGATCAGGGCATAATTCTTTAAATATGTAGTTACCTATTTTATAGCAGGCGTTATTCTAGATCTTGGGGGAGTATATTGGTAAAGAAAACAGGCACGCTTCTCTTTTCTCATTGAACTTACTTTCTGATGGAAGAAGGGAGATAGTAAACCATGTTAGAGCCTTGTTGACAAGGACAAAAGGTTTGAATTTTAGTCTAAGGGCTGAGTGCAATGGAAAGTTATTGGAGGTTTTAGCAGGAGTGATGTGATTTGATCAAGATTTGACTACCTGTCTAGGAAACTAACACAAATTTCCTTATATTATTCCCAAGATCGAGAATAACGCCTGACATATAATAGGTGCCCAAATATTTGAAGAATTAATTAATTAGCTACACAAATTGAAGATAAACCAGTATAGGTAATTCAAAATAGGAACTCCTTCAAACATTTACAAGTCAAAGATAATATTTCCTTCAAAGATAAATTAGCGTTTCAGATTTCTGTAAGACCGTGTTCTTCAGAGATCTGCAGTGGCCCATATTTAAATACCATAATAGAGATTTTATTTCTTCTTCAGGTTCATAATTGTTGGCCACCTCGAGGTTTCAGAGCCATCTTTCTTCTCGTACCTCATTTTCTCATCATGTTATTTCTTACTCTCTGCTTTCATGAGACTCATGACAGTTTCAGCCGTAGGCATACGTAGTCATCATATGTAATTTCTGTTATAACACAGGGACCATGCTTTCTATATTTCATAACTTGCCATTTCTCCAGTGGTATCAAACCAAACTTCCTTACTAAAAGTCAGTTTAGAGGGTCTTTCTGTAGAATGGCTGTCATCCTATGCAAACCAAATACATGCTCATGCAATTTTTAAGTGCTGAATTGGTATCCGACCTTTTTTCCAGATGACCAACAGATTTCCTTTTACCCAGGAAAAGGACTTCATACATTTATGTTCAGAGTAGAACTGTGATCACAGGCAAAATTAAGACTTTGAGGTGCTATATACATACATATTTTAAGGCATCTTGGGAAAATTGTTGTCCCATAGAATTTTTATTTCAGCAAATAGAAACTGACAATAGTTTTGCTTTGCTCTCAAGATAAGCATCTAGTGTGTGTATATTCTTTATATACAGAAACACTTCAATACACTCGGTACCTTAATTAGAATTTTTCTGAGTTCTAGATAGCAGAGGTCTTAAACCTGGCTCCACATTAGAGTCAACTTTTTAATACCAGTGGCTGGGACAGTTTCTCAGAGCTTCATAAAAATTGATCTAGCCCTGGCTGGTTTGGCTCAGTGGATAGAGCGTCGGCCTGCGGACTGAAGGGTCCCAGGTTCGATTCCAGCCAAGGGCACGTGCCTGTGTTTCGGGCTCGGTCCCCAGTGGGGGGCGTGCAGGAGGCAGCCGATCAATGATTCTCTCTCATCATTGATGTTTCTATCTCTCTCCCTCTCCCTTCCTCTCTGAAATCAATAAAATTAAATTTAAAAAAAATTGATCTAGGTCAAGTGGGACTCTGCCAAGTTTCCAGTATTTGTTTTGTTTTCAGTGCCCCAGGTGACTACTGTGTAGCCAGGGTTGAAAACCACTGCTCCAGAAACAAATCTTAAACATAATAGGTTCGGTACAGCAGGTATATTGCTTAGTCTTCTACAATCCTTGCTATTAAGAGTGTGGTCCAGCAGCATTAGCATCACTTGGAAGTTTGTTAGAAATTCAGAATTGCAGAGCCTCACCCCAAACCTGTTGAATGGACCCAGAACCCCAGGCGATTAGTATGTACTTGAAAGTTTGAGAAGCACTGATTAAGTCAGGGGTGGGCAAACTTTTTGACTGGAGGGCCACAATGGGTTCTTAAACTGGACCGGAGGGCCGGAACAAAAGCATGGATGGAGTGTTTGTGTGAACTAATATAAATTCAAAGTAAACATCATTACATAAAAGGGTACGGTCTTTTTTTTTTTTTAGTTTTATTCATTTCAAACGGGCGGGATCCGGCCCGTGGGCCGTAGTTTGCCCACAGCTGGCTTAAGATATAGATACAGAAATACTCTGTGTAATAAAAATAGATGATTAGACTCATCGCTTGTGAGTAAGATTCTCAGATTTGTGCATTAGTCAGTGACATTTACTTTAAAGAATTTAAAAAAGATTTTTCAACAAGAAAAGTAGGCACAGAAGAGTTCTTAGTGAGCTTCTGGCGACCAGTGGTCTCTGCCACCAAGATGGGGGAGGGGTTACTATTGCCTCCTACTTGGTTCTTGATTTTTTTATGTTTATGTCTTTTTTCTTTCCTATTGTGTTCTAGTCCACTCTTTTCATTATGAGATAGAACATGTTACTTTTTATAGATACAGATGAGGTTATTTGAGCCTTTGTTTGATGATAGGTGTCCCCTAATTTAGAAAATTTGGTTGAGGTATGTTTAGAGCTTTCAGTGGGGAGATGGATATGGACAGGACTAAGGAGTGGTTCCTAATGACCTTTCTGTTTTAATTTTAACATAGTAACTTCATAAGTGAACTGATTTTTCTCACATAGCAATAAGAATCAAAAAACTAATTTAAATTCAGTTCATCTTAAAGTTCACAATAACAAATAATATAACATGTTAAAATTCATATATGCTAACAGGAATGGTCCAGTATGAATGTTCAAAGAATAAATTGCAACATATCAATTTAGACACAGGAATGATATTTTTAATGTGTTCGTTTTTACGGTTAAAGATACTGAAATACATTTGCCAAGCAACCATGTCGATACCAAATGAAAAACTGCAGCTAGAGTATTCTCACATCCCACAGTTTTTAAATTGACGTATGTGTTTTATAGAGATTTTTTTTGTCAAGCACAGCACTGTCAGCATCTCTAGAAACCTTTTCTAGGGTTTATTTGTGACTTGAAGATTTCTCCTGAGACCTAAGAGGTTCGTTTTTAGTGGAGACTTACCTATTTCTCCTGAGAAATTTCATTTGTGAGATTTACCCTCTGCAGTGTTATAATCTCACTGAAAATTCATTCTACAAAAGGAATGAATTCATCAGAACTTTAAAGTTTGGTGATTGAAAATACTTCTGTGATACATGAGTGGGTTTTGCTTTAATGTATTGGTTTAAAGGTATTTTGAACCTTCAAAGACACTTTTGCTTCTGTGTGCTACTTCTTAAGTTTAGAGATATCTGAAGGTCTAATATAATTTTTTAAAATACATATGGTATTGGATCTACCTCCTCTACTTTAAGAGCATTTCTAAGTACAGTAATTGGTTAAATGTCTTTTTTTCCTCCTGGGTTTCTTTTTAGGAACTACTGAGAATCAAAAACCTATAGCCGACTTTGGGATATGGCTTTATTATTCAGCAACTAAAAGATGAGTTCTAATTGGCAGACTTCTGGCATTGGCACTTGTCCTCCTGTTTCTATAGAAACGGTTGGAAGTCAGAGCTGTACAAGGGAAAGGGTAAGTTTCTTTTAAACTCCATATTTATAAACCCATATCTTATTAACTGTGGCATGGTGTCAGTTTTCACATAAAGATATCCATCAAGGAACTAGAGCTTAAATATGAACTACTCATTTTCACTTGAGTGGAAACTGACATCAAGTCATTAAATATCAGGAGGTTTTAAATATGGATTTATTTTTCTCATGACTCTGACTTCAAGTTTCTTGAAGCAGTTAACTCAGTATAATTTGCATGTTCAGTTATTTCTAATTTAGGGGGTCATAAAATTGATTTTTATCCTTTTAGATCTAATTCTGTTGTACTTTTCAGTAAGTGAACATTGGAATATAAAAATGTACAGAGGACATTTTAAAGGTCCACATGAATTATAAGTCTTTTCTTTGGAACAGACTTATTTTTTAATATATTTTTATTGATTTCAGAGAGTAAGGGAGAGGGAGAGAGATAGAAACATCAATGATGAGAGAAAATTGATTGGCGCCTTTTGCACACCTCCCAGTGGGGATCGAGCTGGCAACCCGGGAATGTGCCCTTGACCGGTATCGCACCTGGAACTCTCAGTCCGCAGGCCGAAGCTCTATCCACTGAGCAAACCAGCTAGGGCCAAAGTCTGATTCTTTACACTATATAACAAGTACTGTACTACTGACCAGTTTTTTAGCCTCTCTCTCTCTTATCCAAGCAGGAAGGGGTCATCTGCTGGGCATAAACATTTGTTCTCATCCAGGCAGACACCCATTATTCGTAGAATCTGAGACAGCTGCCAATTGGTGAGTCATCTTATTGCTGTGGCTTCAGAGGGCTGTGCGCATAGCTGGGGCATGTAGGCTTGAAATTGTCTAATCGAGTGTGAAAACTCTGATCTACAGGTTGGTGTATATAAATGATTTACACTAAACTGACTAGTTTTGAGATATTGGAAGATAGTATTAGCTCATGTCCTTTAAAACATACTCTCTCATTTCCTTGATCCTGACATGCTACTCTCAAGTATACTGGGATTGTTATAGACTTCTCTTTTCCCTGCTAAATGAGCATTCATGTTGGTTGACACAAACCACAGAATGGGACATCTTGGCTTTATTTCAACTCAAATAGTCAGTTATGTAAAAATAGCATAAGAAGTGAAAGTTGGAAGTTTTTCAATAGGGAAAGTGAATTCACTTTTTAAAATTTCACTTTATAAGTTAATGCCTAAAATAGATTCTCACCAAAAAATGTACACCTCTCTTCCTTAGCTACTGTGTATCCTATTCATTTCTCTTTGCTCACTGTGGCTTGAATGAGGCAAAAATAGAATTGAATTTGTGATTTTTGAAGGGAAGGTGATTAGAAAAAATTTAGTTTTTGTCTGTATGCTGTCAAGTATCTAGAAGGGGTTCTTTGGTCCTTAGTGTCAGGGTGGCTAACTCATCCTGGTTTTAAAACTGGAAGTCAGAGTCCCAGGAGCTCCCTCATCATCAGCCAAACCCAGACCTTGGTCACCCGATCTTAGTTTATTCTCTGCATCCCTGAAAAGGCCTCTCTAGGTGTTGTCGATCATTTTGGAGATTTCACAATACACTAGCTTCCATCAGAATGTACCAGAGATTAGGTTCTTTTTTAGAAATTATTGTCATATTTGTTTCAGTAATACTAGGTAATGCCAGCTTACCTCTTATAGAAATAAGACATACATTTTAAACTGATTTATTTAAAAGTGGATTCCAAGGACTTTCATTATTTTTTTATTTGTATATGTTAAGACCATCTATATATATATATATATATAAAAGACTAATATGCAAAGTGTCCCCTTGGGAGTTCAACCGGGAGTTCGATTGCTCACTATGACTTGCTCTGACCATCATGGGGTGGCGCGGAACATGGTGGGTGACCAGTGGCAGGGTACTGAGGGAAGGAGGAGGTGAGAAGGCAGGGGGAGGAGGGGAGGTGGGGAACGTGATCGGCCCTGATCGCCAGCTAGGCCTAGGGACCCTACCCATGCATGAATTTCGTGCATCAGGCCTCTAGTAAGTGATAAATGTGAAGATAACTGGGTAGGTATTTGTGGCAAATATAGCCAAGTGAGGCAAATATGGAGTCAGAAAGCCTCATATAAGTTAGTTCTGGCTTAAGAAATGGTTAGGGGTAGAAATATTAATCATGCTATGTTAACCACAATTGTTGTGTTCTGATTATAGAAAGTACATTCTAACCTGGCTGAGTGTTGTACCTGCCTGGGGACTTGGGAGTTAACCTGGAATGGGTCCATCCTCCTTATCTGAGAAGTGCCTTTTATCATGGAAAGAGGTGCCTGCCCTTTGCAACCCTTGCCCACATTGCCTGTGACCAGTAACCATTATATCCATTCTTACTCCTTTTGCCTACTTCCCCATGCAATCTTTGTCCTTCTACCCGATATAAGCAGCTGGTTTATGGGGCGAAGGGTAGAGTAGATTTTTGTGGATGACCTGCTGCTCTCCCACACTGCCAGCATTATTTGGATAAATGCTGATAAATGATTCAACTCTATTTCTGCTTAATTGGCTCAAATAGTGACGGGCAGCAGGAGCCATTGGTCGTCCATTTCAAAACTACTCAAGGTTTTTAAAATATATTGAGCTTTTGGTTTTATATTGAGGTAGTAGTGAAACCACTGTCCACGTTTTGTATCGTGTCTCTCTTAAAAACAGTTAAAATCCAATATTAGTAGACTGTTTTTTCTCCTATGGAAACAGCCGATTTTATCTTTAGGCACGTTTATTCAAAATTTTTTTTAATGGTGCCATTCAGATTTAGACATTCATTTTCTTTTCTTAAATATATTTTTATTGATTTCAGAGAGGAAGGGAGAGGGAGAGAGAGAAACATCAATGATGAGAGAGAATCATTGAACGGCTGCCTCCTGCACGCCCCCCAAACAGGGATCGAGCCCGCAACCCAGGCATGTGCCCTTGACCGGAATCGAACCTGGGACCCTTCAGTCTGCAGGCTGACACTCTTCACTGAGCCAAACTGGCTAGGGCAAGGAGCTAACTTTTTGCAAACATAGCATCATATTAATATGCTGTTAACGTAAAAAACCATGGGAACCTGTAAATAATTTTTGTGAGTTTATTTGAGCCAAACTGTCGACAAATGCTGGGAAGCAGAACCTCAATGAATTGAGATAATGCTCCGGAGAATGGCCTGTTACATCTGTATTTATACTTTGCAATCAAAGGGGAAGGGACTTAGGTGAGTTACATGAAATCCATTTGGTGATAGACTAGAGAGGCAGGAGAAAGCAAAGTAGGGAAACCCCTGGGATTGGATAAAAAGTAAAATGATAGACACATACTTAGGTGGGTGCAGGAACAATTAGCATGATGATGAAGGAATTTGTGGTATCTGTCCTGGGGCCCAGCATATTAGGTTGTGCTTCAAGGGGTCCAGAAAAAGGAAGTTACAAGTTACCTAGACATTTTAAAGGGTATGTTATTATAGATGCAAAAAGACAGATCGGCTCAGTTAAGGTGAAGGTTGACCTTGTCAGTGAAGATACCGGCCTAGGGTGTTACTACCCACCATAACCGCTTTTAGTTAAAGTTTAATTTCAGACTATCCTTTGTGGTTACTTTAGGTCTCTGAGTTTGCAAGACCGCCACGCAGACCTTCCCTGAGTTTATTAGGTTAGCATGTGGCCCCTTTCTTCCAAAATGCCTAGATTATTTGAAAAGATCACAAAATTACCACTAGTCCACGTAAGTATAATTGTTGCTTTTGTTGAATTTTAAACTAGAGAATTCATTAAAGAAGAGAAACCAAGGGCCATGATCTAACGAGCACTGGTAATCAGGTTTCAGAATTGGCTCTGTCCAGGACTTTAGGCAAATGACTTGGTTTTCATTTGTTTTTGTTCCTTATTTATAACATAGAAATAACGATACATTTCCAGCTTCCTCACAGGATTGACATGATGCTGAGGTGATAGGTGGGAAAGAACTTAAATTTAAAAGTACTGTAAAGTATAGGTTAGTATTAGAAATAGTATTTAATGACCTACCAGTATATAGAAAATTCCTTAACAGTGATGGTATGGCATTGAGCCAATTAAGCAGAGACTGGGTTGAATCATATATGAGCGTTTACTGCCGGCAGTATGGGAGAACAAGTAGGTCGTCAACAAAAATCTGCTCTGCAAGCCCCCATAAACCAACTGCTTATATAGGGTAGGACAAGGATTACATGGGGAAGTAGGAGGCTAGGGTGGGACTCCATTGTTTGGGCAACAAGGTTATTAATCTTCCCATGACAATAGGCCGTTCCCAATGAGAATGGTTCCAAGGTTGACTCCCAGGCCCTGGGGGCATACAACTCCCAGCCAGGTCAGAATGCCCTTTCTTTAACCAACACAAGGCAATCATGGTTAACAGAGTAAGGTTAATATTTTCCATAACCATAGCTAGTCCCCAGTATTCTATTTTTGCCCCTAACAATTTGAGTTAGAACAAATTTATTAAAAGATAACTGCTTTCGATTAAATTAGCTTCATAAACTCACGGTAATGCCAAGAAGCCAGGGTGATCTAGAGAGGAAAGAAAGTGAAACCGGACAAGAAATGGGTCCGGGCTGCCTGTCTCTACTTGAGCCAGTTAAGCAGAGCAGCATTGAATCATATATGAGTGTTTATTCCAATACTGCTGGCAGCATGGGAGAGAGAGCAGCAGGTCATGCATGAAAATCTGCTCTGCCCCCCCCCCCATGAACCAGCTGCTTATATTGGGTAGAAGGACAAAGATTACATGGCAAAGTAGGTAAGAGGAATAAGAATGTATGCAAAAGGAATACATGGATATTACAGGCATGGGGAAGTAGGCAAAAGGAATCAGAATGGGTAAAATGGTTACCGATTACAGGAGATTGCAAAGGGCATTGTTTCAGCAACAAGATTGTTAACCTTTCCATGAGGCCAGGAAGTTCTTGCATAAGGATAAGGAGAATGGACCACATTGAAAGGTTAACTCCCAGGGCCCAGGGCGTACAACTCCCAGCCAGATTAGAATGTGCTTTCTTTAATCAGAACAGAACGATCACAATTAAGGGAGCGTGATTAATATTTCTTATAACTATACCTAGCCCCCACTATTCTGTTTCTGCCCCTAACAAAAGCATAGGGTTTTGTGTTTGAATTGTGACTCCACCACTTACTGGGTGTTTTCTTTCTTGATCCACGTATTCATTTGTAAAATGGGCATTTTAGTACCTGCTGAAGATTAAGTAAGACAATATATATAATGTCCCTATCTCAGTGACTAGTATGTATTAGATGTTGAAATAAAGTTATTCACCAGTCTACCACTCCAAACACACTGGCATAACCAAAGTCTAATATTTGTTTTCCTTTTTGTCCCCTAAGGATCTCTTGAGGGACAAGACTGGAAATCAATATACTATTTTGCTTTTCTTGAAACCCTATAAAGATTTGCGGTAGCATTTCCAGATTATGGATTCTTAGGAGTGTGTCGACATCTTATACTATTGTCCAAGAAAAGTAGTAAATGAACAGGAACATCATGAGTTAATTACAATGAATAATTAGTCTACATATTATTCAGATTTTTCTTAGTCCACACCACCCAGGTTTAGGGGGACTGTTCCCATTGAGCAGGATGAAAAACAGCTCTGTTGCATAAGATTCATAAATCAGAATTCAGCTAGGAGTTCTTTAGTTGATCCTGCTTAAAATGTACAGTCTGCTGTCATAGGAGGAAAGCAGAGTTACCCTGGGTAGAGGCTCTTTTGAAAA